CTGCCCCCTTCTCTCTCCTCTCTGCTCTGCTCAAATCAGAGGTCAGCTATGTTGGCCGAGTGGGAGCTTTAAATTACAGGGGGGGAGCCAGGAACCCCCGTAATTTACATTCTGGGGGACAGAGGCTCCCCACAGCTCTGTAATCACCACAGGAACTTGGGGTTCCCTGCATTTCTGGCTTCGCAGGGCACCTATGTCCTTCGGGGCGAAGAACGCTTTGCCAGCCGCTGGTTCTAGGAGGTCTATGCGGCCACCGGCCCTGGAAACACAGGACAAAGCTTGAAGCCGTGTCCTAAGCAGCCCCAGAGGCCCAGCCCTGGGACCCCTGTGCTGTGACCCCTCTTCCTGCGCCCCCTGACCCACTGCTGGCTGTTGTACCATTCTCAGCACCCCCATTCAAGATCTGTTGATGTAAAATGCAGAGTGAGGGGTGCCCGGGGGGCTCAGTTGGTGAAGCGCTGGTGTCTGGTTCAGCTCATGATCTCAGGGTCCTGGGATCCAGTCCCGCATCAGGCTCCCTGCTCCGCGGGGAACCTGCTTCTCCCTCTCCCTCTGTGCTCTCTCTTGCTCTCTCTCAAATAAATAAGTAAAATCTTTAAAGATTTTTAAAGATACGTTACAAGAAAAACGTAAATGCAGAGTGAGCTACTTTCTCCCTGTAAAGACGAGCCAGGCGGCCTCGAGATACTCACGGTCTCTGCCCGGCTGTGGGAGGCTTGCTGTGGTGGACGTACCAATCTGGCAAGCAGTAGGCCACGGGGGAGCCTTTCCTGGTCCCGGGGACGAAGTGCTTCAGCAGATCTCAAAGCCAAAAAGACACCGAGGTGAGCACGCAGTGCGAGTAGCAAGCAGCTTAAAGCAGCTTACCAGGAAGCGGGCACTGGGACTTCTCTTAGGGTCGCCTCTGGGCCCCCACCCCGCGGTGCACAGGTGGGGATGCGTAGGTCCTGCTTGGTGTTCAGGAGGGGCACCCTTCATGCCCCTCTGTGCCCAGATCTTGCCCTGCTCCCGAGATTCCATTCCAGGGGGACATCCGTGGGGACAAAACCCCTCAGGTCCCAGGGGAGGCTGCTTGCTGGTGGCCCCCTCAACGACCCCCACATGTCCGCCACCATGCAGCTGTCCCTCACCTCCCACAGCGTTCTGGGGACAGGCTGCTCCGCCAGGTTCCAGGGGATGTGGGTGAGGGAAGATGGTAATCAGGGCTCCCCCTTTGGAGCCCCCCGAGAGGGACAGAGCACGAGGCTCCTTCTCCTCTGAGACCCACCCAGCTCCCGGGCCACTTGCCTGCTCTGTGGCTGCCGGTGCCCCCTCCACGGGCTTGGTCATAGCTGGGGGCCAGCAGGTGGGGAGGTGGGACCGTCTGGCCCTGCCTGCTCATGAGCTAGCAGGCACTGAGTTCTTACCATCCGTAGGAAATGTTTAACACTGTATTTCGTTTTTGATTTTGCAATATTTCAGACTAAGAGCAAAGTTGCAAGAATAGAAGGAAACCCCCTGTACCCTCTCTCCCCAGCCTCCCCAGAGGCTCACATCTGCTTCATTTCTTCCGCCCTCCCCCCTTCATTAGTACATCACTGTTACTGCTGTTTGGGGAGCAGTTTGGGAGCCTCTCGCAGACCTGTGGCCCCTTTGCCCCCCTGGACTTGGGTGGAAGGTTCCAGAAGACGGGTGTTACATAATGACGGTGCCCGGATCCACACCGGGAAGTCAGTGCTGATGCCATCCTCTGAGCTAACTTGCAGATCCCATCTAGAATCTGCCCGCTATCCCAGGAGCTTTCTCTTAACCGAGGCTGGGGCGCGGGGAGGAGGGAGGAGGAGCACTGTGGGTCCTGTCCGGGGCCTGACTTGGAGTGAACGGGACGGTGTGTTCTGGGCTCTTGAACATCCAAGCCCGGGTGTTGCCGTGCTGTTTCCCACCGCCCGTGACAACCTCCTGGGGAAGTATGGTGGCCAGGAAACAGGACAGGAAAGGCGGTGGCTCTCAGCGGCCCTCACCACAGGTTCTGAGCCCTGCCCCTCATCAGTGATCTGTATGAGCACAACCAGGCAGCACGTTCTGGGTTAAACCATGGATCAAGGTGGATGCTCATCAGCATCGCCGCTGAAACTCATCTGTGGCCTCAGTGTTGAAACCACACGAACACGCAGGATGAGGGCAATGAGCATAAAGCACAGGACCCCGCACTCCACCAGCTCGTGAACTGGTTGCCCCAGCGAGGCCACGGAAATGCAGGCAGGGACACTCTGGGGAGGTGGACAGCTTCCGGAGACCCTCTGCACCTGGACCACGGGATGGGGGTGGGGACCCTGAAACGGTGTCACTCGTAAGCCAGTTCTGCAATTTCTGTCTTTTCAGTCTTTGCCATAAAATGTAGACAACCTGTGGGCCACACGCATCCCAGGCTGTGTTGTGACCCTCGATGTCCACTGGCCTTGGGCAGAACTCATAGATGTTACAGGTATTTTCACGTGGAAGCCATGAGAACCAAAACCACCCAATCCCCCTGACCCATGCATCAGAGACCCTGGGGCGTGCATGGGGTGCTTACCGGGCTGGCCGCCTTGCTTCGCGAGCTTCACATACTCGGAGTCTGTTTCTTTTATCCAGTACCTCCGCGACCCAGGCATGTGCCCGTTGGGAGGCTCCCTCAGATCACTGAGGCCCGGGATCTGGGAGGCCAGTGGGACATCCACGGGCTTGTCGGACTGCTTCACGGGAAGGTCGTAATACCAGTCTAGAGAAGAGGAGGAAAGGGCCAACTTATTACACAGAGTTCAGGCTGGCTTGCTGCACTACCTACCACATAGCCATATCAGAGAGAGCATCTCAGCCTCCACAGGAAATCAGCACAAGAGAGTCAGTCCACCACAGGACATCTGTACAGGAGACATCACCACAGGACACCAGCACAAGAGAGTCAGACCTCCGTACGGGAGACATCACCACAGGACATCAGCACAAGACAGCAGTCCACCACAGGACCTCCGTACAGGTGACATCACCACAGGACATCAGCACAAGAGAGTCAGTCCACAACAGGACATCAGTACAGGAGACATCACCACAGAACCTAGCACAAGAGAGTCAGTCCACCACAGGACATTTGTACAGGAGACATCACCACAGGACATCAGCACAAGAGAGTCAGTCCACCACAGGACATCTGTACAGGAGACATCACCACAGAACCTTAGCACAGGAGAGTCAGTCCACCACAGGACATCTGTACAGGAGACATCACCACAGGACATCAGCACAAGAGAGTCAGTCCACTACAGGACCTCCGTACGGGAGACATCACCACAGGACATCAGCACAAGACAGCAGGCTACCACAGGACCTCCGTACAGGTGACATCACCACAGGACATCAGCACAGGAGAGTCAGTCCACCACAGGACATCTGTACAGGAGACATCACCACAGGACATCAGCACAAGAGAGTCAGTCCACCACAGGACATCTGTACAGGAGACATCACCAAAGGACATCAGCATGAGAGAGTCAGACCTCCGTACGGGAGACATCACCACAGGACATCAGCACAAGACAGCAGTCCACCACAGGACCTCTGTACAGGTGACATCACCACAGGACATCAGCACAAGACAGCAGTCCACAACAGGACATCAGTACAGGAGACATCACCACAGAACCTAGCACAAGAGAGTCAGTCCACCACAGGACATTTGTACAGGAGACATCACCACAGAACCTTAGCACAAGAGAACCTAACACAGGACATCTGTATGGGAGACATCACCACAACAGGACATCAGTACAGGAGACATCACCACAGAACCTAGCACAAGAGAGTCAGTCCACCACAGGACATTTGTACAGGAGACATCACCACAGGACATCAGCACAAGAGAGTCAGTCCACCACAGGACATCCATACGGGAGACATCACCACAGGACATCAGCACAAGAGAGTCAGTCCACCACAGGACATTCGTACAGGAGACATCACTACAGGACATCAGCACAAGAGAGACAGTTCACCACAGGACATCCGTACGGGAGATATCACCACAGGACCCCAGCACAAGAGAGTCAGTCCACCACAGGACATCCATACGGGAGACATCACCACAGGACATCAGCACAAGAGAGTCAGTCCACCACAGGACATCTGTACAGGAGACATCACCACAGAACCTTAGCACAAGAGAAACCACAGGACATCCATACGGGAGACATCACCACAGGACATCAGCACAAGAGAGTCAGTCCACCACAGGACATCTGTACAGGAGACATCACCACAGAACCTTAGCACAAGAGAACCTAACACAGGACATCTGTATGGGAGACATCATCCCAGCACTTCAGCTCGGGAGATACCTCCACCCCCTTTGGAACACCTGTAATGAGCTTGTAGACATCAGTCTCCTAAGCCCACCAGCATGCCATCCGCTGGTCCTGCCAGAAGGAAGAGTTCCTTCTATGAGGCCCTGCCGTTCCTCTGCCCTAGGCTGCACCTCTGCTCCAAAGCATTGGCACCAGGGCCTCCTCCAAGGTGTCCCAATCCCCTTGTGTCTGTGTGTCCTGTGCTCTCTCTCCTCCAGGGAACTGGGAGTAACCTGCATTTCTGGATATATTGGGGAATACACATTCCCGAAAAATCCCAAACCGCTCACAACATTGCAGGCTGAGTCTGGCTCCCCGGGGGCGGGGGGGGTAATGCTGAGGGCAGACGAGGGCAGGCTACTCCTGTGGGCAGGGGCCCATGAGCAGGAGGGGCAACACAGGAAGGATGAAGGAGGGGAGAGTAAGGCAGTGGGCTGTCTGCTCTTCCTCCCCCTCCTTGCTCTGTGCCCCACGGACAGAGGGGTCACGGGTAATGCGGTGAACGTGGCATCGGCAGAGCCATGGGGCCCCTAAGTGGGCACAGGAGCTGAGGGCATCCAGGACAGCCCTGCAGGCCACTCTGGGACCACCTGCCCTTGCCGGGAGGGAGAGGTGGACGCAGAACCCCAGACCTACAGTTATCGGTGTCCACTATGATCCCAGAGAAGGAACAGATCGGGGACACTTGGACTTCTCTGAAGTCATTTTTAGGTGAGACTAACATTTACATCAGTAGACTCTGATTAAAGCATATCACCCTCCATCACGTGGGTGGGCTTCATCTAATTAGTTGAAGGCCTTAAGAGAAAAAAACTGGGGTCTCTGGGGCATGGCGGGGTCTGCCTCCAGATGGCCTTTGGACTCAAGATGCAACATCAGCTCTTCTCTGGGTCTCCAGCCACACAACTGTGTGAGCCAGTTCCTTAGAATAAACCTTCGATAGACAGATTAGATAGACAGATTGATAGAGGATGGATGATAGAGAGATGCACTGTTGGTTCTGTTGCTCTGGAGAACTCTGATATGGTAGGAGCATAGGAAAACTGTGCTGAATAAATTAATTTATGTAGAGGGCGCCTGGGTGGCTCAATTGGTTAATCATCCAACTCTTGGTTTCAGCTCAGGTCCTGATCTCAGGGTCCTGGGATTGAGCCCCATGTCTGGCTCTGCATTCAGCTCAGAGTCTGCTTGAGATTCTCTCTCTCTGCCCCACCCCTTGCTCACTCTCTCTCTCAAATAAATAAATAAAATCTTTTAAAAAAATTAATTTATCGGGGCGCCTGGGTGGCTCAGTTGGTTAAGCGACTGCCTTCGGCTCAGGTCATAATCCTGGAGTCCCGGGATCGAGTCCCGCATCGGGCTCCCTGCTCAGCAGGGAGTCTGCTTCTCCCTCTGACCCTCTTCCCTCTCGTGCTCTCTATCTCTCATTCTGTCTCTCTCAAATAAATAAATAAAATCTTTAAAAAAATAAATAAATAAAAATAAATAAGTAAAAAAATTAATTTATGTAACACAAAAGGATCTCATGAACAATTGTCCTCTAAAGGTAAAAGCTTACACATCCAATTTCTACTTCCAACTAAAGCTGAGTTCACTGCATGAAAATGAATGATATTTAACTAACAAAATATCTGAATATCTAAATGACAGCAATTAGCTCAATCATTATACTTTTGAGAATGAAAAAAAAGCATTAAGAATGGGGGCAGAAGCTCATAGGTAATTTAAACATTAGGAGGAAGAGCTAAGCAGCTTCCTACTCTCAACACAGTTCAAATATTTTCCCTTACAGAGGGACGGCATGCACTTCTTGCTTTATTTTTCCTCTGTTTTGATTACTAATTAATCCACAGAGAACAGTGTATCTTTCAGTTCTCATTACTAGAAGCTTCGGGCCGGCACTGAACTCTACTCCAGGCATTTTTAACTGTGTGCAAAGAAGCTCACGTGCAGGCACACGTGCGCGCGCACACACACACACACACACACACGGGGTGAAAGGAATGAGAACTGTCTAGTAGCTTCTATGGCTTAGAAACTATTGTTACTTGTCTAGCAATTACTATCAGTACTACTGTGATCAATTACTATCATGTAGATTTCTTTTTGTTTGTTTCATTTTTACCAGCAGCACTGGGTATCATGTAGATTTTTTTGAAGATTTATTTATTTATTTGACAGAGAGAGAGCAAGCACATTGGGGGTGGGGGAGAGGCGCAGAGGGAGAGAAAGAATGTCAAGCAGACTCCCCGCTGAGCACGGAAGCAGGTGTAGGACTCGATGCCAGGACCCTGAGATCATGACCCGAGCAGAAACCAGCAGCTGGAGGCTTAACCGACTGAGCCACCCAGGCGCCCCGCGACCCCCCCCCCCACGTAGATTTCTTGATGTCGCTTCCCTGCCTCCTCACCTGCAGGATATCGGAAGCCTTACGTTATCAATAAGGAGACAGGCTGAGAGGGACTCTGGGGCTCTCGGATCTCTAGTCACAAGGCAGTGTTTTATGCCCACTTAGCCCAGGGCTCCCGAAGGCTGATGGCCACGCTCCTGCCTTTGGGATGCTGCAGCTTTGCAGAGCCTAGGCAGAGGAGCCCCTGTGACATGTGTGACCTCGGGCAGCTTCCTAAAACTCTCTGGGCTTTAGTTTCCACGTCTATAAACCGGGGTGAATGATACCACATCAGGTTGTTTTGAGGTTAAATGTTAGTGTACAGAAGTGCCTGGCCCTTGTCAGTGTCCACTGGTGTCATGTACAGAGGGGAGGCCACTAAGGCTGGGAGAAGTCACATACAGGCTGAGAGCCCACAGCGGAGAAGGGGACCGGTCAGCCCCTCCACCCCCCGGCCCACCACACACCCAGTTCCCAGCACAGCCACGGTCTCCCCAATGGCAGTGGGGAGCTCTGGACAAGCTCATTTAGGAATGAGAAGGCCAGGCTCCGTTACACTTCTGAGCGGATGTGAGCGCTGCAGGTGCCCACCAGCTTCCACCCCGGGGCTCCCACCTGAGCCCCCCTTCTCCAGCCTTTCTTCCCACATTCACAAGAAGGAGAGGAATCAAGATAAGAGGCACACACAGACCAGAGCATCCAGCTCTCCTTCCCTCCTTTCTGCCCAGCTGCCCCACAGGACCCTCCACCCAATTCTTCTTCTCTGTGTCCAGCCACTTAGAGCCCGAGACATGGTTAACTTGGTGGGGGCATAAATTACAGGAAGAAGATAGATCGTGACATGCTCTGGGATGCAGTGAGAAAGCAAGTGCTTACATTCAGGGAAACAGCTAAGGCTTATCTAGGGTCAAACTATTACAGGACAACTTCAGAGATCCTATATTCTCCAACAGCAGAGGCAACAATAGGAAGCCTGGTTTTCTTTTTGTTGAATATAAAGACTAGCTGGTTTTTTGTTTTGTTTTGCTTTTTCCTTTTCTTTTCCTATTTCCCTTTAAGCTGCTTTGACCCTGGGGCCCAGGAGCTGCTTTGTTTGAGGGCACATTAGTTTCACCCCTGTCCCAGGCGCGCAGAATCAGGATGCTGGGCTCAGGGCAAACGCGGGCTCCATTCGCGAATCACTCACCGCAGGGAGCATAGCGGCTCGCCGCGCCGTGCAGCTCCTTGCTTGTGTTCCTCATGCCGGGGGGCCACGCTGGACCGGGTGTTCTCGGGTGAGTAGGGAACGCCGCCGGAGCTGAGCTGCCAAGGCCACTTCTGACGGCCTCCTCTCTCAGTCCACCTCCACCTGCCAGGTATGCAGGCGTCTCATCATTCAGGAAGGCGTGCACGACCACGTGGGTATGCAGCAGGGGCATATGCATGCTAGTATACAGCAGGAGCACAGCCATGCCCGGTGTACAGCAGGGGCACATGCACGCGAGTATAAAAAGGGGCACGTTCACGCGGATACACAACAGGGGACAGCAGATGATCGTGGGTATACAGCAGGGGCGCATGCACACTGGTATACAGCAGGAGCACATCTACGCCAAGAATACAGCAGGGGCACGTCCATGGGGGTTCACCGCTGGGCAGCAGGTCATCGCGTGGCGGCGGGCCTCGCGCGGGGGGCCGGCTGCTCTCCAGGTCCGGGGTGACAGGTGACCCCCGCCCCCCCCCCCGCCCCGCTCACCGGCCTGCCGAGGGTCTCCGTGAGCGCGGCCCGCACCTCCCGAGACGACTCTACCCGCCGCCGCTGGGGGCCGAGCCCACCTCGCACTCGCAGCGGATGCGGAACCGCCACAGCCTGCGTCGTCCGGGTAACGGCTCGGTGGCCAACCGGCGGGCGCGGCGGGAGCGCCCGTAGCCAATCGGGAAAGCCTGCGGGGACGCGGCCGACCAATCAAAGCCAGGGGCGGAGCGCGGGCGCCCGTCAACAGCCCGGGCGGTGGCGGGGGCGGAGCCGGGACCAGGCGGGAGCGGGGGGCGGGGAGCTGCGGTCGGGGGCGGGGCCGCGCTGCTGGTGGGGCGGGGCCGGCCTCCTGGTCCCCGAGGAGCTCCACCCCGGGAAGTTTCCCCAAAGGAAAACAAACTAGACAGATTTGCTTGTCAATCTCCCGTTTATTTCATGCATTTTTTTTTTTTTTTTAAAGAGGACGAACAGGGGCACCTGACTGAGTTGGAAGAGCACGAGACTCTTCTTGATGTGGGGTGGCGAGTTTGAGCCCCACACTGGGTGTCGAGATTATGAAAAAAAAAACTAAAATTAAATCGACTTTAAAACTAAATAAATAAAAAGAGGAGGTAAAACAGCCAAGAGCCTAGGAGAAGGAAGGGAAAAATGAAGGAGGGGGAATCGGAGGGAGAGATGAACCATGAGAGACTATGGACTCTCAGAAACAAACAGGGTTTTTTTTAGAGAGGAAGGCGGAGGGGGGATTGGTTAGCCCGGTGATGGGTATTAAGGAGGGCACGTACTGCATGGAGCACTGGGTGTTATAATAAAACAATGGATCCTGGGTCACCACATCAAAAACTAATGATGTATGGTGACTAACATAACATAATAAAATTAAAAAAAAAAAAACAGCCAAGAGCCATTTTTGCCAATTGTGTATCAATAGTGAAATGGTCATGTAAACGTCCTTCCTCATACCATATGTTTTCAGGAGTATTTCTGTGTTTGTTTGTTTTAAATGTTTTATTTATTTATTCATGAGAGTCAGAGAGAGAGAGAGGCAGAGGGAGCAGCAGGCTCCCCGCCTAGCAGGGAGCCGGATGCGGGGCTCGATCCCAGGACCCCGAGATCATGACCTGAGTTGAAGACAGACGCTTAACCATCTGAGCCACCCAGGCGCCCCTATTTCTGTGTTTGTAAATGGAGAGACAGTTTGGCCATGTTTCTGGGAAAGTGCATTCAGATTTCTGCCAAACACCTGACTTCAGTGCAGACTTCCGGCCTGGCTGGCTTGGGGATCTGCACAGGTGCCCGGGGCTGGGACCGGGTGGAGAGACCGTAGCTCTTGCGACCGGAAGAAACCCTGACTCTGCCGTTTACCCGGCTCTCAGATAAAAGCCTGATGAGTTTTCCAGGTTGCAATGTCACGGGTTTGTCCCACTGTGTGTAGAGGCGCTTAGGCTCTCACCAAGAATAACGGGCTTCCTTTTGTGTAAGTCACAGCCTCCTCTGCCTAGGGGATTGTGGGGTCCAGAGAAGGTTGTTTCTGAGAATAGTGGATCGTAGTGCACCTGAGACCAATGCAACACTATGGTAACTTACACTGGCATTAAAATTTTTAAAAAAATTTAAAATGAATGAATGAATGAACAGACTAGAATAGCATAGTTGATCCTAGTAACTGCAGTGGTCCTAGCGAGTATCTTTTTCTGTTTATGAACTGGGTTAATAGAAAAGGGCAGAACTCACCCAAGTTGAGGACCTTCTTTGGAATGGAAGTCATAACTCGAAAATTGAATTTCTCTTGCTCATAATTCCAACCATGAAGAGCGATCATTCCCTTAGGAGAAAGTTCCTGCTTCCGGAGTGTGCTTGAAAGCAGTGTTTGCAGATGTCAGGTCAAATAAGAATCTAGGTAGGGCGCAGTGCAGATGAAAAGGTGAGGCAGGGTAATCAGCTGAGAACGAGCAGATCTCATTTCCTACCCTTTATCACGGTGGGCTTTCTGTGCTATAACAGTTCTGAGTGTTTAGAAGGATCCAAACGTCCTCACACACAATTCCACTTGATGCACATTTTATGCGGTTTTATTTGTAGATGTTTAGATAAAATGTAGATTTTTTTATTTATTCATTGAGAGAGACAGAGCAAGCGGGTGCATGAGCAGGAGGGAGGGGCAGAAGGCGAGGGAGAAGTAGGCTCCCCAGTCAGCAGGGAGCCCCATGTGGGGTTCGATCCCAAGACCCTGAGATCATGACCTGAGCTGAAGGCAGGGCTTAACCGACTGAGCCACCCAGGCTCCCTTCGGACATATATCTTATATGCCTATCTATATATAGATATCCTCATTTATTACATATATCTTATTATATCATATATAAGATTTTATATATCATGTATCATGTATATAGACATCTTATTATAGATATATCTTATATAGATAGCTCCTACTCAGGAGTATTTTGAGAAAAGGAAAAAAATGCATTTGAGTACAAATTCTGATTTCTCAAAGCCTTTGAACCTCTCCCGCCTGTCTCCTCTCTCTTGGTTTACCCCTGTTACTGACTGAGCTGATTTATTTCAACTCCCAGGACACATGTTCATTTCTGCTTTTGCCCATCCTTGTTACATATCCAACCTGAAGCAGCTAAAAGGTCTGGACAATTGCCTTCCTTAGACCTCCTCCCCCAGGACTCCATCTGCCCCCTCTCCATCAGGGGGCATACTTTTTACACCAGAGCCTCACCAACAGGAGGGATTTCTAAACTGAGTGGGGTTTTTTTTAATTTAATAATAATAATCTAAAATGAAGGGCGCCTGGGTGGTGTAGTTGGTTAAGTGTCCGACTCTTGGTTTTAGTTCAGGTCATGATCTCAGGGTCCTGGAATCGAGCCCCACGTCGGGCTCCATGCTCAGCGGGGAGTCTGCTTGTCCTTCTGCCTCCCCACCCCAAACGTGCTCCTGCTCTCTCTCTCTGAAATAAATAAAATATTTAAAAAGTGGATTAAAAAAATAAAAATAAGTACATAACCCTTAGAGAAATAAATGAAGGACTGATATTGACTTTAAAAAAAACAAATTTTCAAACAAAAGAAGGAAGAAATGAAACAAAACCTGATAGACCAAAAAAGCAGATCCCAGGAGAACAAGGGTCTTAGCAGGAGAAGAAAGGGTATATCTTCTTAAAAATCTATTTTATCGGCAGCTGCAGAATAACGTAAGCTCACAGTTATTTATTGCATGTTGTTTTTCTATGTCAAAATGCTCATCAGGGGTGTTGGGGTGGCTCAGTCAGTTAAGTATCCGACTCTTGATTTCAGCTCAGGTCATGATCTCAGGGTTGTGAGATTGAGCCCAGCATCCAGCTCTGTGCTTAGTGCGGAGTCTGCTTGAGATTCTCTCTTCCTCTGCCCCTCCCCCTGAGCACGCTGTGTAAATAAATAAATAAATAAATAAAATCTTTTTTAAAAAATGCTCATTGGGGTGCCTGGGTGGCTTAGTCGGTTAAGCATCTGCCTTTGGCTCAGGTCATGATCTCGGGGTCCTGGGATCGAGCCCCACATCGGGCTCCCTGCTCAGTGGGGAGCCTGCTTCTCCCTCTCCCCCTGCTGCTTACCCTACTTGTGCTCTCTCTCTCTCTATGACAAATAAATAAATAAAATCTTTTAAAAAATAATAAAAAATTTAAAAACGGCTCATCAGTATGGGGCAGGTTGGACAGATTTCGGCCCTCGGAAAACAACATGCAGCCATGAAAGACTGGGGAAGGTCACCTCCAAATGAGTCGGGAGGACTTCTAAGCTAGATGTTTTAAGGGAAAAAAGCAAGTTGCAGAACATGGTGTACGGTCAGCCACCAAGTCCACAATGTGAAGAGATGAGTATAATTGTAGATACACACAGACACAGATATGTATTTGTTCATAACCACATTTTACATAAATATGTCATTGTATGCGCATTCCATAGCCTTGAAAAGAAACAAGAAGGTGGGAGGGAGGACAGCCTGCAGCGGGGGTCAGAGTGTGGCACTGAGAAAGCGCGTTCCTCTGCTCCATTCTGTCCCCGTTGAGTTTGGGACGATGAGGCAGTAAAGGAGACGCGCTGGGATTTCTTGGGATAGATCCGGACCTCACAGGGTCAAAGAGCAGATCCGCGAATTGTAAAGTAGCACTTATGAATTCACCCTGAAACCAGCATAGATAAAAGGAGGGGAGAAACTCACAAAAACACCAACTATAACGCGGCAGTGAGCTATGGGGAAAGTAGATCCAAAGAATTCACATTGTCGCTCGGTGGGCATCATGAGAAACCAGAGGCTCTGGCAGCGAAGCAGCATTTGAAGAACTGAAGGGGGGGAAATGCTCCAGAACTGAGGAAATGCATGAGCGCCCAAATGGACCTTTAAAGTAGCCGAGTCGGAACAATGAGAACTAATATCACACTTCGGTGAATCGAACTGAAACTGAGGAAGACCAAAGAGGGAGAGAGAAAATACTCAAAATTGTAAGAGGAAAAAGACCAAACTGTCACATACACACACAGGCACACACACACGTGTGCACGTGCACACACACGCAGACATGTGCCCACAGACACACACGCACGTGTACTTGCACACACGTGTGCACGTGCACACACAGACATGTGCACACAGATACACGCGCACTTGCACGCACGCACACACGCGCAGACGTGCACACAGATACACACGCACGTGTACTTGCACACACGCGCAGACATGCACGCGCACGTGTACTTTGCACACACGTGCACACGTGTGTGCACAAATACGCACGCGTACTTGCACACACACTATGCACACAAAGAGACACACACGTGCACACACTGTGTACACACACGCACGCACAGGCATGTGCAGGCACACACACAGGAATGCACGAGGCAGAATCCTCCTCATCCCCATCAGCAGCCACCTGCTTCACGCACCAGTGAGTCATGCTCCAAAGCTGTCACCCACGGACCGTATACCCAATAAACTCTCTCCTCGGAGTGGCCCTGGCGAAGGGTGTGCACGAGACACGCACAAGAACGGGCGTTGGCCGTTCTTTGTGTTGCTGCAAAACTAAAAGCAGCCTCAGCGTGCATCCGTACAAGAGCAGGTAAATGACTGTGACGTGTATGTGATAAAATATATCATCGAATACTGCGCAGCCGTGAGAGTGAGCGAGCTGGAGTGAAAACATCCCAAGACAACGGGAGAAAACAGAGGAAGGGCGTTTCGGTCGAAAGCAAACACACAATATTGTGTTCTGTATGGACACATATATCGGTGCTAAAATATTTAAAAATACGTGGGAATTCCATATATCAATTTCCAGATCATAGTTCCCTGTGGGAAGGAAGGGACAGGAGTAATATTGGGGAGCGATATGTTGGGGTCTCCCATGGTCTCCGTGGTATTTCACTTGTGAAGGGGACGCAGCAAACCCCTGGTTTGTGACAGCAGAGAGCTGGGTACAGGGGGACCTTGGCAGGACCTGCGGGCCATGCAGAAGGTGTTACAACGAAGCATGAACACGCGCGTTCGGGACGAGGTGCGGGCCGAGAGGCGGCTGCAGGTGCCCCACCTGACATAGGGTGGGGTTTCCATTGTGATGCGTCACAGAAGGTGATGCAACAGAGGGGTCTGCAGCGGTTCCAGATTCGCTCACTCACAGTTTCCCCCTCGAAGGAGAAACACCCGGGAAGTAAGACAAGAAAGCAACCCCAGATCCTCTCTGTAGGGCGTCGTGCTTTCCCTAAAATAGCAAAGAGCACACGGATGCTCTTCTTCCTCCTCCCAGCTCTTTGCTACGTTGTGGGGGGAAATGAGTGGAAGGCCGAAGCCGAGAAGGGCCGCCAGGTTTTTTAGAGGTCATTCGGAGGAAGCCAGCGACAGCGCCAGTCTTAGTATCCTGCTCCCGGAGCACGGGAACCTTGACGCCAACGGGTACGTAACTCTGAAGAACAATTGCTATCAGATCGGATACATACGTGCCGCAGGCCAGACGTGCTCTGTTTACTTGGAAAATACCCCAAAAAAGCCTTTCTCCTTTTGAGAGAAAGTCATTTCCTAACACTTTCCTGGCAGGTGTCTCTTGATCACCACGCCGGGGGTACTTTGACTCATTCCAGACCACGGGGTACAAGGATTGTGAACCAGAAGCCACCTTTAAAGAAGAATGAACCTCAGCAGCAGCAAGATTACTATTTTACTTTACGGATTTACGGATTATTCCCGTCTTTACCTAGCTTGTCCGTTCTCTGTGATTTATGGTGCTTAGCCCCGCGGTTGAGGACCCCAGACACAGAGTGCGTTGAGCGCATCCTTGGGTGACAAATGACTGCACGGTTAGTGGGCACGCATTTGGAGCCAATAACTGTGTCCTGTTGTCAGAGCAGGTGTGGATTGGCCAGAAGGAGGCCGCAGAGAATCCCTGCCCACCCGGGGTGGGGTGGGGGGAGGGGAGGAGGAAGTAGGGCAAAGACCCCAGCCCCCCTCCCCTGTCCCCCCTGTGCCGCCTGCTGGGAAAACAAAAATGAAAAGTCACAGAATAGCCACATGAGTGGTACCAGAAGAGCCCTTGCACGGAAACAAACCTGCCCATACAAACGAGGGAGGGCTACAAAGTTTTGTTACCATTTGTCATGATACAAGAAGAGGTATTGGACAGTCCCAATCTAAAGGAGCAAAACATGCTCCCCGCAGAAGACAGGGTCCCACAGTTCATGCAAAGGCATCCAAGGGGCTTTAAAGTGCAGAGGCTGACAGCCAGGGTTTTATCAAAAAACAGAAGTAACCTTTGCCGAACATTTGCATGTGGTCCTTTTTATTTCATGCAGCCCATCAGAAGGGCTCACCCGGGCTGTAAATGCACCTTTGAATAACTCTCTTTAGGCAGTGGACCCCACACATGACCAAGAAATAATATTTACAGAGGATGTGCTTTCAAGATACACCTCCCTCTGAGGGCAAAGAATCGGGAAAAACTTCTGAGTCAGGACAGAGGTGACCTTTGGGATGGAAAGCGCAGGGTCTGATGGGGTTTGGGGGGGCTTTTGCTCGTTCTTGCTGAGGTGACACGGGTGTGTTCATCCTGTAAAAGTCCACTGAGTCAGGCGGTTAGGATTTGTGTCTTTTTCTGTGTAGAGGGTAGACTGCAAGAAAAAGTGAAGGGAAGTGTTATGATTATTTAAAGAACTTCATCAGATAGTTGTTAATCATCCTAGTTCTTTCACTGAATACCAATTTCTTCCTTCCTTTCTTTCTTTTTTTAAAGTAGGCTCCTCACCTAGGGTGGAGCCCAACGCGGGGCTCTATCTCACGACCCTGAGATCAAGACCTAAGCCAACAGGGCTCCCAGGTGGCTCAGTTCATTAAGCGTCTGCCTTCGGCTCAGGTCATGATCCCAGGGTCCTGGGATCGAGTGCCGAGTCAGGCTCCCTGCTCAGCAGGGAGTCTGCTTCTCCTTCTCCCTCTGCTCTCCCCCTGCTCATGTTCTCTTTCCCTCTCTCTCTCTGTGTCAAATAAATAAAATCTTAAAAAAAAAAAAAAGACCTGAGCCAAAACCAAGAGTTGGACCCTTAACCGACTGAGCCACCCAATACCTAATTTCCATGAAATCAGACTCTAAGCTCTTCTCCTTCTGCCTTCAGACCACAAGGATAACCCTTTCTGTTACATCCTTTGTAAGCATCTATTACACACACATGAAAACACTGGGGCATACACGAGACGTAAACCCCAGCATAACTGTAACGCGTGTGACCTGAGGGGTGGGACATCTGTTTGAGTGTGTAAATACTCCACCCCAGAAACTGTTTTCTCTGGATTCCAAAGTTCGGTTAGGAAGTGAATTAGTTCTCAGACTCAGCCTAGAAGGAGCACGTTTGTGGACTTGGTTGTAGTGGTTAGTTTCATGTTCAAAGTACCGGTTACTGGTGGTGGACCCTTACGTTCTTTTTGTTTTTCTTCTCTTTAGGTTAACCCAGTCGTGGAAGATTGTCATAAGCACGGTGTCTATATTGACCCTTCTTCTTATAGGTAAGGTCCTTAAAGCCATGTCTCAGGATGTTTCTGTGTAGGGAGGGGGATCTCTGTGGAAATGCCCCAGAGAAAGCTCTGGAGAGAAATAAATGTCGCAGATAGATGGCACGAAAGACCCTCGCTGATCCCCAGGGGGCTGAAGAAATGGCTGAACATGCCGTTTGCAGGAACACCGGGAGGTTCAAAACTCCCAGTCACTGTAGATTAAGAACAAGTCTTCATTAGCCCCCTGAAACCAGCAAGCTGCATGAGCAATGTGCACTCCCATCCCCCCGTGCTCCCAGTCCCTGCCACCATGCTGGGGACCGAGGGATGGCAGGCAGGGGAGCAGGAATCCCATACTCTTAACGATAATCTGCTTTTCTTCAGTCCTCTGGTTGCTGTAAGTTTGGGATTAGATTTCAGAGTCCAACAAAAGTAGATCCTGTCCGTCTTTGCCAGCATATGAACATTTCAATGGAGACCTGATTTTGTTAAGCACCCAATATTGCCATTTTCCATATTGTCACCCAAGGATCTGATATTCTATTTAAGAGTGTATGTATCCTTCACGCTTAGAGAAATTCTTATCAATGCATGTAACATATCAGGGCACCCGGCTGGCTCCGTCGGAGGAGCGCGCGACTCTTGATTTTGGTGTCATGAGTTCAAGCCCCACGTTGGGTGGAGAGATGACTTAAAAATCTTTAGAGAACGTACATGTAGACGATCATAAATGCTTGCAGACAGACTCTTCCATCAGAGTTGGTCTTTTTTTTTAACAGGACTTGGCAATCACATGTGGCTTAAAGAAACGGAGTTTCCTCAGAAATCCAGACAATTTTATGCTCTAATTGCAGAATACGGTTCGAGGCTTTATAATTATCAGGTGATGTCTTGTTAAGTCATTCTGTATGTCACCCGTTTAAAATTTAACATGCTCCAACTTGCAGTGTGTTACCTTTGTTTTGCATGTGAATATCTAATAGAATTAGCGTAGGGACCAGGGTCCTATTAAGTGGTTTTACGACGAAGCTACAATTTGACCTACAAATCCTCTCCAGCCTCTGATCCCGGCAGGCTCCTACCATAGACTGAATGTTTGTGAACCTTTTGTCTTCTCTGTTTCTCCCTTTTGCAATGAGGATGTCTATCCTCCACCTGTCTCATCACTGTATTTAGCACATCACGTGTTTGGTTTCATAGCCTCACAGCTGGAGGGGAATTAGCTTCAGGATGAATTTTATCTGGGATCTTAACCCATATCGGACTTAGGTGCTACTTAGACGAGGCTATGGACTTTAGAGTTTTCAGTTGATGCTGGAATGAGCTAGGACTTTGGAGGCTTACCCCTATTATGATGGCTAATTCTATGGGTCACCTTCACTAGGCTAGGTGCCCAGATGTTCGGTCAAACACTAGTTCTAGATGTTGCTGTGAAGGCATTTTTTGATGTGATTAACATTAAATTGATAGGCTTTGAGTAAAGCAAATTAGCCGCCGTAGTATGGGTGGGCCTCACCCAATCAGTTGAAGGTCTTAAGAGAGAAAGAGTGGAGACCCCCAAAGACGAAGAAATTCTGCCTCCAAGCAGCCTTTAGACTTGAGCTACAGTAGCTATGGGCAATAGAAGCTGTTTTTATTCAATTAACAATTGATTTTAAACAGCATTCCCTTCTCTTTAGATATCTTTTTAAAGATTTTATTTATTTATTTGAGGCAGAGAGAGAGAAAGAGCTCACACAGAGGGAGAGAGAGAGGGATTGGCAGGTGGAGGGAGAAGCAGGCTCCCTGCTGAGCAGAGAGCCCGATGTGGGGTTCCATCCCAGGACCTTGTGATCATGACCCGAGCTGAAGGCAGGCACTGAACCCACTGAGCCACCCAGACGCCCCAGCACTTTCACTACCTTGAGAAACAGCCCCTCTTAGACTCCAGTTGTCACTTTCAGATTTGGATGTTGCTTCATCCCCACAAAATGTAACCATTTACAGGAAGGCAGACAGACATGCAGGTGTCTTAGAGGACACTTGGCGTCCCCCCGTGTCATGTATGTCTATCCAGGTGCAAATGTGATTTCTTTCCCCTTTACGAATAAGAACACTAACTCTGCCTGACTAGGCAAGATGCCGAATGATTGGGGTCCTTTGGTTTCTTCCAGGCCAGACTTCGGACGCCAAAAGAACAACTGGAGCTTTTAAAGTGAGTGAGGTTTTCTGATTCGGGGGACTTTGCTGGTGTGACTCCAGCAGTGGAATGTTTTTCTAAAACCATAAAACTAAAATCACTCCCACTTCTGGGGCTCATTCTTTAAGGAAATATACACTGAGCCGTGCTTTCCAGATGAGTTATGATTTAAGAAAATGAAAACCGCTTGGAGAAGAAAAACAAGCCAATGGTTAAATACATTTGAGAATATCCGTGTAATGGGGAATTATGAAGCCTTCGAAATATCTGAAATAATGAATAATGTAAATATTTAATGATTATAATACCTAATAACGTATCTAGTACCTGGGAAGTGCAGCAGGACACAAGATCACAAACAGCATCTGTATTTTGTTACTAGTTTTTCTCATGGAATAAAAACTGTTATAAGCACACAGAAATGCAGCAGTGTTTATCTCTTGAAGAGTTTTGTATTTGCCAAACCTTGAATCTGTATTGTTTTACAAACTGGGGGGGTGGGGAAGAAAGTCATAGGTGAGTAGTGCTTACATTTTTCAACCTAAAGAAACACCTGCTGGCTTGACACGTACTCATTGTGTCCACCAGTAATTTTCAAACTGTCCAAGTGGCGGAAGCCACTTGGTGCAACGTCTTGCACCCTCCTGCTGTCAGCAGGGACAGGTGGCTGTCCCCAGCTGTAATCTCCAGCCACGCAGCCTCCAGCCACCCTCCTTGCCTGAGCCTCATCCATAGGACCTCAGGGCTCAGGATGAAACCCCTTCTCCATACCCCACTGGAAATACAGGGTGTTCCCCATTTGAACAAGGGAACAAGGTGGCCCATGGGGATTTAGGCTTCACGCTGTGAAGTCATGCAGGCTCCAGTCAGGGTAGCAGAGCCCCCAGGGAGGGACCGGGGACGCATAAAGTTGGAGGAGCCCTAATTGCCTGCGTAGAGCACGCCCCAAGCATTGAGACACCCTCTGGAAGCTTCCTGCCCTGAATGTCCTTGCTGTTCATAGGGAGTGACAGGCGGCGCTTTAGACCAAGGGGCATCCCCGACTCCCTCTCTCAAGACTTGGGCTTTCCTGCAACAGACTCTTCCTGGGCCACTTCTGAAGCCCAACCCATGGCAGGAAGCCCAGTCTCCCTCCCTTCACATCAGGGGGTCTCCCTTTACAGGAAGGAAAGCCAGACTCTGGAGAACAACTTCCGTGAAATTCTATTTTTAATTGAACAAATAGATGTTCTGAAGGCATTGCTTAGAGACACGCGGGACGGTCTGCACAATTACAGCTGGAACATGGACAGAGATGAGGCCCAGGAGCCCTTGGAGGCTACCGACGAGGTAAGGGCGCTTGGGAGGGTCGCCTTGCACGGCTTCTGGGAGCAGAAAACTCAAGCACTGGATGCTTTGTCCTCCTCCTGAAGGTTCTCCCTGACAGGAGCTTACCTCAAGAAAGCTTGCCCTGGGAACCCGCTTGCCTGTGATCCCTGTGTCACAGAGAAGACTTGCCATCTGACGGACTTCCCGCCCAAGTCAGTACCCGACGCCGTTTTATTTTCCCGTAAGATACACAGAAGATCATTCAGAAACGCAGCCTCTGAACACTTACAGAGCAGAATATTTTTATTCACGGAGCCGAAGCTAGTGCCCTTGACCTCATCAGCACCCAATTAGGGCACATGATGCTGGAGGCCAATGAGCTTGGCTGCTTTTCCCCGTCTCCCACACTAGCTTCTCTTCTTCCCTTAATGCCTATTTTCTGAAGCACACAGAAACCTCACCCTGACACCTCCTGCCTTCCAGGCCCTGTATTGTCATGGCCTCGGGACAAGGGTCCGAGTCAGAACTGGAACGGTGGGTCCTCTAGGACACTTGCTTTCTTAGAATCAGAACGTCCTTAAGAAGCCAGTATTAACTCAAAGGATGGATGTTTTCTTTTTTTTTTTTAATTTTATTTATTTATTTGAGAGAGAGAGAGAGAGTCAGCTGGGGGAGCGGGAGGAGAGGCAGACCCCTTGCTTATTTTCAGGACCTTGGGATCATGACCTGAGCTGAAGGCAGATGCTTAACCGACTGAGCCACCCAGGCGCCCCAAGGATGGATACTTTCTAAGAAACAGTCATGAACTCCATGTAAAAGGCCTGATGCCCAAATACCTACAGAATGATCAAGTCTTTATTACTAAACAGAGACATGAATGAAGCGGGGGGACCCAGCAGGTGGCATGCACAACCTCGTGTGACCACCTCACTGCAGAGCATGATGGGGGGTCGTTAGGGCTTCCGAAGGGGCCTTGGCTCCAACCTTGCTGGGACTGGGGGACATCTGGACATGTCTCAGTGACCTGGAGAATGGCGATCCCTCGGGGCTGTGGAGGGCATTAGAAATCCGTGCGCAACACCTGGCTCTGTGTAGTTCCTCAATATTCACCGTTTGTATTTTGCAGATTATGGCGCTTAGCTGCAAGTCAACAAAGTGAATTGTCAAAACCCAAGAAGTTAGCTGAGATTGTTAACAGAGAACTCTTTCTAATATTTTTACAGGAAATGTCAAACTTGGTAAATTATGTCCTTAAAAAGTTGAGAGAGGACCAAGTCCAAATGGCCGACTATGCCCTTAAATCAGCAGGTGAGTAAAAACTGAAAAGTTAATGCTCCCAAGCGGTCCATATTCTTTATATTTGATTTTCTATTTTTTTATTTTTTAAAGATTTTTTAATTTCTTTATTTTTAAGTCATCTCTACACCCAGTGTGGGGCTCGAACTCACAACCCGGAGATCAAGAGTTGCGTGTTCTACTGACTGAGCCCCTGACATTGTTGGTTTTTATGCCTTTTTTGTTTTTAAGTAGGTTGGGCTGATTTAAAAGTCTCATTACATGAGTTGTTAAAATATGGGCGTCCACACGTCTGTTGAGGTAATAAACACAGTCCACATCATATTTCCCCCTCTGAATCAATTGTTCTGGAATTCATTCAGTAACGGTTTCAGAAATGCTATGAAACCACACGGAGCAAGAAAACCACACGTTTTCTCAAAGTGACAAAGTCTCAGCAGTAATGAGAGCGGGAAGCCGTACTCCCCCTACCGATGCCCGAGTGTGAATATCACCTTACTTGCAATTTGCCTGGGAACACTATTCTAACAACATTGTGAAAATATAAATGATGTGTCTTGAGATGTGTAATTCTTTATTTAAAATATTATTTTCTCTTTGCAGGGGCTTCTGTCATTGAAGCTGGGACCTCGGAAAGTTACAAAAATAATAAAGCAAAACTTTACTGGCATGGGATCAGTTTCTTAACTTACGAAATGCCTCCAGATATTATTCTCCAGGTAAAAGCTAGACTAAGAGGAATCTATTTATATTTGAGGATTTTGTTCATATTATTTATCATGAAAATATTAACACCCAAAATGGAGGCCACTCTGAATTTGTCACAGAACCTGAAACCATCACCTTGCATTTTATTTTATTTTATTTTATTATTTTTGGGGGAAGGAAGGGGAGGGCCAGAGGGAGAGAGAGAGAATCTCCAGCAGACTCCACGCTGAGCACAGAGCCTGACGCGGGGCTTGATCTCACGGCCCTGAGATCATGACCTGAGCTGATATCAAAGAGTGGGACACTTAACTGACTGAGCCACCGGGGTGCCCCTCTACTTGCATTTTAATAGTCATCAAACTATATAAATTATGTCTTATTTTATGGGCAGTAAACTCATAAATTATTAAAATTAGTTAAATGATTAATTATTAATTGTTTTTATCATTTTAAAATCAGTAGGCTAGATTATTTACTTCTTAAATAGGACGTTTGCATTCCATATCTTTTCCTTAAATCGATCTTGCAGCCCCCCTTTTTAGTTGAAAACTTCAGTCTTTCAACAAACACTAACTCCAGGTGCTCGCCCCTAAGTGCCAGCACTGTACCACCCGCTCTCCAGACTGACACATTCCTACAAAGTCCAAGTGTAACAGGAGACATTTCCAAATACGATCTCCACTAACATATGAGTTCAATTCAGAAGGCTCTAGGTAGACATCAACAGATGGTAGGGCTGATCTTAACTACAACCTACAAACCTGAAGTCCATTTCCAAGGTAGGAATACCTTCAGAAGCAATAATACAGATTTCATTGCAGACTCTAGATCTAGAAAATGGTACATTTTTCTTCCTTACCATCACCACTGCTTTGACCATCACCACCATCACCACCACCACCATCATCACCACCATCACCATCATCATCATCACCTTCATCACCACCACCATCATCACCATCACCACCATCACCACCACCATTATCACCACCATCACCTCCACCACCACCATCACCACCACCATCATCACCTCCACCACCATCATCACCACCACCATCACCTCCACCACCAACATCACCACTATCACCTCCACCACCATCAGCATCACCACCATCATCACCACCACCAACATCACCACTATCACCTCCACCACCATCAGCATCACCACCATCATCACCACCACCTCCACCACCACCATCACCACCATCATCCTCACCACCACCTCCACCACCACCACCAACACCATCACCACTACCACCACCACCACCATCACCACCATCATCATCACCACCACCACCACCACCATCATCACCACCATCACCTCCACTACCACCACCATCATCACCACCATCACCTCCACCACCACCATCACCACCATTACCATCACCACCATCACCTCCACCACCATCACCTCCACCACCACCATCACCACCATCATCATCACCACCATCACCTCCCACCACCATCACCACCATCATCATCACCACCATCACCTCTACCATCACTTCCATCACTGTCTTTGCCACCAGCACGCTATCACCACTCATGCCACCTGCTGCCTTCTAGCAACATACAGTCTAGTTAGAGCAATAAAAGAAAATGCATAATAAATAAATTATATAATCATATAAGAGATAATCCTATAATGAAAGGCTTTGAATGATCGAAGTCTAATGTGCTCTGGAAGAACAACCAAACCCCTGGGTACCTTGGCAGTTTTCCTGTGTGGTATGTACCCCACACAATGCCTTCGTATTACAGGCATAAGCGAGATCTGTGGTCAATAGTGATTTGCTGACCAATATTGCAGTGGTGGATCTATACAACCCGATAAGAGATTAACTCGGTGTTTTCTTTCCAGCCGGATGTCCACCCTGGGAAGTGCTGGGCCTTCCCGGGTTCCCAGGGTCACGCCCTGATCAAGCTTGCCAGGAAGATCATACCAACTGCCATTACCATGGAGCACATCTCGGAGAAGGTGTCTCCCTCAGGAAACATCTCCAGCGCACCCAAGGAATTTTCCGTCTATGTGAGAGGCAGTCGGAATCTGTGTTCAGAGTGGGTTATACTAAGAGGGGGTTGGCAAGGAATCAGACGCTGGGACGGCACCTGAACTGTGCAGCTAACCATTTTTATCACTGTGAGAAAGTTACTTCTTTCCGATACCTCTGCTTTGCCATCTACAAAGACAGAGGGTTGAACCAGATGATTTCTATTACTTACTTTTTTTATTTTTATCAAAGCTATATGTGCACAGTTAAAAAATCAGCATTCTTGTATACTCATAACTAAACACTTTTTCTTCTTTTTCTTCTTCTTTTTTCTTTCTTCAGGGCGTCTTGTCCCAGGTTTCTACTTTCTAGAAGCTTCCACTTGGCCACAGTTTTAGCTGCTCGTTTCGGTACACTTGCCTTCATATTTGCTTTTACCGTTACTTCTTCTTTTTTAAGTAATCTCCATGCCTAATGTGGGGCTCGAACTCACCACCCCAAATTCAAGAGTCCTGTTCTATACCAACTAAGCCAGTTAAGTGCCCCTACTTTTACTTTTTGATTTTTCAGTTTTGCTTATAATCTACTGACTTCCTCTGATAAAAAATGAAGATCAGTCCTCATCCACGGCTCTCCCATCCTCCCCCAATTTTTAGGTCTTACTTTTCTTTAATAAACAAGTTTATTGAGACGTCATTCACATATCAGTAATTTGCTTACTTAAAGTGTTCACCTTGGTGGTTCTTAGTATGTATATTCACAGAGGTGTGTATCCCTCACCACGATCAACTTTAGGACATTTTTGTTGCCCCCAAAAGAAAACTTGCTCTCCTTAGCTGTCAGCTCTCATCGCTGAGCCCGCTCCCCCACCCCCGGCACCACTGACCTACTTTGTCTCTGCAGAGTTGCCTACTCCGGACGTTTCGTGTAAGTGGGATCATATAATATGTGGTCTTCAGTGAAAGGGTCCTTCCACCTAGCATCATGTTTTTGAGGTTCCTCTGTGCTCTATAACGTGTGACTGCACTTCATTTTTTAAACTGTTGAATAATAGGGGCGCCTGGGTGGCTCAGTGGATTGAGCGTCCGCTCTTGGTTTCGGCTCGGGTTGTGATCTCAGGGTCCTGGGATCGAGCCCCGCGTTGGGCTCTGCATTTAGTGTGGAGTCTGCCTTAGACTCTCTCTGCCTCTCCCTCCCTCCCTCCCTCTCTCATTCTCTCAAATAAATAAAAAAAAATTTTAATTAAAAAATATAAAAATAAATAAATTGCTGAGTAATACATATTTCATTGTGTGGATAGACTGTGTTTTATATATCCACTCATCAGCTGATGGGCATTTGAGCTGTTTCCTCTTTCTTGACTATTATGAATAGCGCTGCGGGAAATATACGTGTCCAAGTCTTTGTGTGGACATCGGTGTTCATTTCTCTTGGGTCTATATCTGGACGTAGAATTACTAGGTCACGTGGTACATCTGCGTGTCATGTTGGAGACACTGCTAGACGGCGTATCTTCCTTTCAATCAATATGCAATGTTTTCACTGTGACTGTGTGAAGGGTGTTGTTCTCACTGAGCCCTATAGTATACTGGAATACTATTTTCTTTGTGTAAGACTTTGATGTTCCTGTTCATTAAAATGTTTGATGTTCCTATTCATCAAAACGAATGCCTCGTTTCAACTGAATTTGCTGACTTTTCTACATTCCTATCACAAAACCATTCCCCACCTCTTTTTTTCCAAAGGGTAAAAATCCTGCCATCATGTTCCTTCATGTCAGATCATTTCCAAGTTTCTTCTTTATTTTTTAAAAAATGTCCCTCCAGGGGCGCCTGGGTGGCTCAGTCATTAGGCGTCTGCCTTCGGCTCGGGTCATGGTCCCGGGGTCCTGGGATCGAGCCCCGCGTCGGGCTCCCTGCTCAGCGGGAAGCCTGCTTCTCCCTCTCCCACTCTCCCTGCTTGTGTTCCCTCTCTCTGTGTCTCTCTCTGTCAAATAAATAAAATCTTTAAAAAAAAAAAGTCCCTCTGGCCCACTCTGCCCTTCTGCTCCGATGTGACCAGAACCTCATGTCTGCATCCTGGGGATTCGACTTAATCATCTAATCTAGTATTTAAATAATCTTTTCTCTCTAATTTTCCTTCATTTTTTGTTCCACCCTCTGAAATATTTTATCAACTTATATCCTAACCCATATGTGGAATTTTTCACTTCTGCTGTCATGATTATTCTAAGACTTTTTTTTTTCCCTGCAAATAACTCCCTTTCTTTAGAGTCTAAATTTCGTCCTTCATGGATGCAATATCTTCTCTTCAGCTCTGGAAGATATTAATAGACATTAATTATAGTTGTGTTGTATTTTCTCCTGCTCCTTCCTGTGTCCTTATTCCCAAACATCACTTTTCCTATTTGTGGAAAAGTGTTTTTCTCTCATGTCTGGTGATGCTTGTCTGTTGCATTTAAGAGCCAAAGGGTAAAAAGCCAGCCAAAAGCTGTGCCTGCAAGGTGGTGGATGCCGAGTGGGTGCTCTGCTTGGGCCGATTCTTCTGGAACCCCCAGAGTATGATACGGGGCAGGTTGACCCTGGAGGAATCTTGCAACCTTGTGGCCAGATTTCAGCTTGGTCAACCACCCACAGGGACAATAGGTACATGGGCTCCCCCCGCAACCCCGTGCCCTCCCCCCAGCCCGTGGCCTTGTGTCTGTCCTTCCTGGGAATTTGCAATGGCAACATCAGCATGCTGCTGGTCCCCCGTACAGCCAGGATAGTCCATTCTTGCTCCAGGCCACTACACCAGTCACCGATCGGCTTTCGCCAGACTTTTTGTCTCACCGTCTGTTCCCAGGTGTTCCCTGTTGCTCTATGCCTTTCTTTTTTTTTAATAATTTTTTTTTATTATGTTATGTTAACCACCATACATTACATCATTAGTTTTTGATGCAGTGTTCCATGATTCATTGTTTGTGCATAACACCCAGTCTATGCCTTTCTTCAACTCCTTGGTGGCCGTATCTGGAGGGGGTGCTTGGAGTTAAAACACGGGTGCTCAGCCTGCTTTGCGCACCCTTTGAATGCCTGTAAATGGCATGATTCTGGGTCACAAGACAGAAAGGAAAGCACTATCCTTTGATGGGGGCCTGCCACCACCCACAGTAGCTGTCTGCTGACACCTCGCCTGACAGAGGTTGGAGCTGAGCCACTCGAACCGCATCTCAGAGAGACGCGCTCGGTTGCTCGTTACAGGGGAGTTATGGGTAACCCCTCAGGCAATAAAAACCACTTCTCATCATTTTTCTCTTATATTAGCCAATTTATGAACCAGTGAGATTAAAGCTAGAGGAACTACAGCGGGCACCCCCTACCACACAGTTGAAACCCCCCGTACATTTGACCCCCAAAACTTAACTACCAACAGCTTACTGTTGACCCATAAAACAGTATGGTAAAAAGTCTTACTGGTAACAGTCGATGAACACGTATTTTATATGTTATATACTAGATGCTGTATTCTTACAATAAAGTAAGCTGGAAAAGAGAAAAGGCTACTCAGAAAATCATAAGGAAGAGAAAATAGACTTACAGTTCTTGCTGTATTTGTCCAAAAAATCCACATCTGTGTGCACTCACACAGTTGAACCCGTGTTGTTCAAGGGTCAGCTGTGTATGAGCTTTGAGTTGTATGTATATACAATTGTCGCTGCATTATGTAGTCATGCTGTAGACAATTCTTTTAATAAATTGTGATGGGGCGCCTGGCCTGCTCAGTTGGTGGAGCGTGTGACTCTTGATCTCGCGGTTATGAGTTCAAGCCCCAGGTTGGACGTAGAGCTTACTTAAAAATAACTTCTGATAGTTTACATATTAATATTTTCATTATCAAACAATTGTACCGATGAACTCTTTATTATTGTGTTGCCATGATTTAAGTACACCAATGATAAAGTTTAGATTCACAAAATAAATTCATTTCCACTGGTCTGTCTCCTCTCAAAAATCTTCCATTTTGAAGGTAGAGGATGAAGGGAAAAGCTCAAGGGAAAGAGTGTACAAATATCGCTAAGGTCTTTCAGTCAACAAAAGCTTACTTTTTGGATGGAGTTATTTGTGTTCTCGAAGTCTGGTAATTGGATTAAATTTATCTCGTTTCAGAACACCTTGGGTCAGCATGGGGACTCATTTTGTGGGGGTGTATTTTAAAGATTTTATTTATTTATTTTTATTTGAGACAGAGAGTGGAGTGGGGAGCAGTGGAGGAAGAGGGTCAGGCAGACTCCGCGCTGAGTGCAGAGCATGACCCTGAGATCACGGCCGAGTCCAAATCAGGAGCGGGAGGTCTGGGACTGAGCCACCCAGGAACCCCTCGCATTGTGCTTATTTTATTCAAAGTATGCCACCTGCAAATTCAGTTACTGAGCCGGGTCAATGCTGGGATTTGTTCTAGTTCCCTGTCTCTATCTTTCTATCTATCATCTATCTATCTATCTATCTATCATCTATCTATCTATCTTTCTATCATCTATCTATCTATCTATCTATCTATCTATCTATCTATCATCTATCTATCATCTATCTATCTATCTATCTATCATCTATCTATCATCTATCTATCTATCATCTATCTATCATCTATCTATCTATCTTTCTATCTATCATCTATCTATCTATCATCTATCTATCTATCTTTCTATCTATCATCTATCAACCGATTGATCAATCTATCTACCTATCATTATCCAATCAGACCTATGGTCAGCCTCCTCTTGCCTCACAAGCCCGCAAGTTAAACATCTCTTGGGTGTATAGGGCAGCACCGGGTCCCGCCACAGCACCGTGCTCCTGGTGGACTGCCAAAGATGTCTCGTGAATTGTTGCTACCTGGACAGACAACTGCCTCCATTTCTTTAGCTGAGCATCCACTCATGAGAACTCCCTTGTCTGTTGCTTTCCTTCATAGGGCATCTCGAAACAATGTGAGGGAGAAGAAATATTCCTAGGTCAGTTCGTATATAACAAAATGGGAAGCACCGTTCAAACATTCAAGCTCCAGGTAATGAGCGCCCCGGAAAACGTGGGGTGTGAGGAACTCCAACCCCGGGCGGGTCTGTGGGTGTTGTTGATGCACAGTGTTGTGTGAGGATAATTATGACAGAAGTATGAGCTAAGGAAGGCTTAGCTCAGCTTCCATTTTTAGCTCCAAGTGCTATATGGATTTTAATGCCAAAAACCAGGCAAATACCAGAGTGGGTTCTAATCCTGATTCTTCCTCATTTGCTACTATTTTTTTTTAATTTTTACTATATTCATTTTCTCAGTCCTTCCCTTATCTATTGGGTTCTCTCGATACTATTAGCTTTGGTGGTCACTAGGTCATCTCCCATGGAGATGGCTGCAGGCAGACAGGAGCTCAGGAAGAAAAAATAAATATCAGACAATGTGAGTCAAATCTGTCTTCCTGACATTGAGGAGTGTTAGGAAGAGGAAATGGGGGAAAAAATACCAACTGTTAACATAAAAACCCATGAAAGCCATTAAGGTATATGAAATATATTTTCATTTTTTGTCATTAGGCACAGGAAGATTTAGAAATACATGACACTTCTTGGCCAATGCCGAGATAATCTGAGCTGAAAACGATATATGTGTTAGAAATGAATGAACCTGTAAAGTTTCTCGTATGTGATCGTTTATCCGTGTCTCTCTCCCGCTCCCACCTGGGGGCACCATCTTCTTATGAGCCCTGCACCTACCTGGACCTGTTTTCCCATCCATGAGACTGGGTGTCTAATAAAATACTGGTTAGGAAGGAAAGAATTCTAATTTCCCATTATATCAGCACCCCTTGGTGCTTGGATTCTTGGAGATGGATTTCTGTATAAGGCATTCATTTGTATCTTTTCTTTATTTTCAGCATGACGTTTCTGAATCCTTATTATGTGTGAAACTGAAAATCCTCAGCAACTGGGGACACCCGAAGTACACGTGTTTATATAGATTCCGGGTCCACGGTACCCCAGGAGAGTACCCCTAGAGAGGAACCCGTGCAGACGGCCATGACCACAGGTCCAGAATATGGGACTATTCTTATTCCTTTAGATCCACCGCACTCAGAGGAATCCAAATGGGAGTGGGAGGGAAAACTCAAAAGTGGTTCATACCTGCCAATAAAATGTGAATGAATTTTACTAGTAAAAGATATGAAAATAAATGCAATGGTCTGGTGGTAGTTTTGCTCTTGAGGATGAATCCTGTGGAAGCACTGAAAAGAATGTATGTATTTGGAATGAAGCTGGTATTATTCTATGGTCTCTCATACTAGTATCTTTGCCTCTTTGCCTTCTTTACTCATGTGACCATAACCACACCAGGCATGGATGCCCCCTGTTACTGCTCTGACATATATAGTGATGTAGAGGTGATTGCTGGCGTCGGTCAATGCAACCAGGTAAGCCAGAGAAATTGGAGGTAAAAATTAGAGGGGAAGTCTGACCATGACTACCTGCAGACGGCTTGGTGAATTCCTTGAACCGCAGTAAAAGTCAATGAAGGGATACGTTATAAACCAGGAGAGGGCGCCTGGGTGGCTCAGTTGGTTAAGCGACTGTCTTCGGCTCAGGTCATGATCCTGGAGTCCCGGGATCGAGTCCCACATCGGGCTCCCTGCTCGGCGGGGAGTCTGCTTCTCCCTCTGACTCTCCCCCTCTCATGTGCTTTCTCTCATTCTCTCTCTCTCAAACGAAAAAATAAAATCTTTAAAAAAAAACAAACAAGGAGAAACTGCAGGGAGGTAGTGGATACAAAATTATTATACAGAAATTGACTTCATTCATAAATACAAACAACAACCAGTATGGGGATACAATTTACAAAAGTTACAACAACAGTTAAAAAACAATAAGGGGCGCCTGGGTGGCTCAGTCAGTTAAGCATCTGACTCTTGATCTCAGCTCAGGTCATGACCTCAGGGTTGTGGGATGGAGCCCCAAGTCAAGCCTCCGGGCTCAGTAGGGAATCTGCTTGAGAGTCTCCCTCTCTCTGCCCCTCCCCCTCAAGTAAATAAACATTTAAAGAAAAGAAAAGAATTAAGCTACCTGTATAGTAGCCCCCCTTTTCCTTGGGGGATACATGTTTGCCCGGATAGTACCGAACCCTGTGTATATTATGTTTTTCCCTATATGCACACACATATGACAAAGTTTTTTCCCTATATGCACACACATATGAGAAATCCAGGTGAGGGGATGAAGGGGGTGAGTGATGCATGCAGGTTTGTGACCTAGCGTTAGATTGTACTGACCTCCTGACAGTACATCAGAAGGGAGACCACCTGCTTCAGGACCACAGTTGACCTGGAACCACGGATGAGGGGAACCCACCATGAAGAACCGCCCCCCCAACACTGGTGGATCACTAAGCCAAAACTCCAGTAAATGAAAAGACATACTTGCTCTGTGGATATGAAAACTCCACTACCAAGATGTCAATTCTCCTTAAGGTAACCTACACAGTCAATTTGATCTCAATTAAAAGCCGGAAAAAATTTGGTATTGATGAAATGATGAAACAATTATGGTATTTATGGTATTGATGAAACGATTATGGGCTATTATTTGGAATTATTGTTAAAAACAATGTTTTGGTGCCTATGTGAATTCTTATCACTTAGATTTATATATTTAGATGTATGTATTTATAAAATATATGTTTGTATATTTTATATTTAGATTTACGTATTTACGTATTTACAGATGAGATGATATATTTGGGATATGTTTCAAAATTATACAAGAGGATCACATGCGTTGAGGTATTGACGAAAAAGATTGGCCATGAAATGGTCACTGAAGTTGGGTGCTGGTCCACGAGGGTTCACTTATACTATTTTGCCTACATTTAGTATCTGTGTTTGATATTTTCAATTTTAGTAAGTTTTGAAAAGATTAAAACACTTATGTAGCTCAGAAACCAAAAGAGCTGTGTTTTGAACCAACGGATTCTAAAGTTCATATGAAAATAGAAACTTGGTAGGAAGCCAGGAAAACTTTGTAAGGGAGAGAATCAACAGAGAGAAATAGCTCTATGACATTGTGGTTTATAATAAGAAAGATATATTTGGCCTTTGTCCCCTTTCTGGCTCGGAGCTCCTAAAACCCTCGCAATTCACTAAGTGACAGGAGCAGAACGGGGTCTCTTGTTATGGTAATGAGATGACCTGGGGAAAGCTCCAAAGGACCGGAAGCACCCTGGTTGCCACGGGAACCAACCAGGATTCGAGGTTTGGAACTTTCAGCCCCACCCCTGACCTTCCAGGGAAAGGGGCTGGAGATTGAGTTCATACACCTATGGCCAATGATTACATCAGTCATGCTTACATGGTGAAGCTTGTGTAAAAACCCAAAAGGATGGGGTTCAAAGAGCTGCCAGGTTGGTGAGTGCAGAGACTTGGGGGTTAGTGGTGCCCTGGGGAGGCATGGAAGCTCCACGCCCTTTCCATAGACCTCACCCTGTACAGCTCTTCTTTCTGGCTGTTTCTGAGTTATATCCTTTTATTTATTATTTTTTAAAAGATTAATTTATTTGTTTGAGAGAGACAGCGAGCACGCAAACATTAGCAGGGAGAGGCAAAGGGAGAGGGAGAGAGAAAATCTTAAATTGAGCACGGAGCCCAAGATGGTACTGAATCTCACAACCCTGAGATCCAGACCTGAGCTGAAATCAAGAGTCGGATGCTTAACTGGCTGAGCCACTCAGGTGCCCCTACCCTTTTACAATAGACCGGTGATCCACTAAGTAAACTGTTTCTTAGTTCTCTGAACCACTCCAGCAAGTTCACTGAACCTAAGGAGGGGATCGTGGGAACCCCAATTTACAGCCAGTAGGCCAGGAACACAGGGAAACTGTGACGAGAGGGAGGGGCAGTCTTGTGGGGCCGAGCCTTCAGCATGTGGGGCCTGATGCCATCTCCAGGGAGATGTCAGACTTGAGTTGCATTATAGGACACCCAGCTGGTGTTGGAGAATTTCTTGTGTGGAAGAAGAAAACCCCACAGACTGGGACTGGTATCCCGGAGTCATCAAGGAAAGAGGTATAAACACTAATTAACTGTGGGGTCTTAGAACATTGACAGACCAATGGAATGGACAAAAAGGTCTTTCTACTATGTCAGAAATAGATCTATATCTATGTGGGAACATAGTGAATACAATAAAGGGGCCATCTTAAGGGGATGGGAGAACAGGACTGGCTTGGGGCAATTATCTGCTCATTAGGAAAACAGAGTTGCATCCGTATTCCTCACTTCACAACATGATGAACTCCCAAGGTGGTAAAAGATTTACAGATGTAATTAAACCATAAAGACATAACAAGAAAATCTGGGGTAATTCCTGTGTGGCATTGGATAGAGGAAGACTTTCTAAATATGATTCAAGCTTCGGAAGCCACAAAAGAGAAGATATAAATCCTAGTACATCAGAACAAGAAGACAGCGTGGCTGACAAAAGCTTAAAATAGAAAAAAAAAAAAAAAAGATTTGCCACTGACATCATAAAGAGTAACTTTCCAATATGTCAAGAGTCTCAACAAGGCAATAATAATATCAAGAACCACAGGAAAATGGCCCAAAAGTGTGAACCGAGGGCTCACAGAAACACATGAAAAGGTATTCAAACTTGTTTGTTTGAAGAGAAATGGCAAAAGTGACCCAGGGGTACCGTGTCTCAGCAGTGAAATTAGAAAAATTCAAAAGTCTGGCAATATTTTATGGGAAAGGCTTAGAAAAACAGGCTCCCACACATTGCTAGTGAAAATGTGAAAAGGCACAACCATTCCAGACGGAACTTGACAGTATCTATCAACATGAGAGATGCGTATACCCTCTGACTCAACACACTGTCATGTACAAAAAATATACATATATATGTACATATAAAGGTATTCATCAGCAGTGTTTACCAGGAGGATTCCCACATAGGTGGGAGCAAAATGTTCTACTACACAATATTTTGTTTTCAAACCATGGGAAAATATTACCTATTCAGACATCAAATCTTTATGACATAGTCTCTTGCTTTGTTACATGATGGTTGTATTTTCTTTCTTTCTTTTTTTTTTTTTAAGAATCAGCGAGAGCACACAAGCAGGGGCAGCGGCAGAGGCGGAGGGAGAGAGAGCATCCCAAACAGATTCCACTCTCAGCACGGAGCCTGACACAGGGTTCAATCTCATCACTCTGAGATCATGACCTGAGCTGAAATCAAGAGTCAGATGCTTCAGGGCGCCTGGGTGGCTCAGTCGGTTAAGCGACTGCCTTCGGCTCAGGTCATGATCCTGGAGTCCCGGGATCGACTCCCACATCGGGCTCCCTGCTCGGCGGGGAGTCTGCTTCTCCCTCTGACCCTCCCCCGCATGCTCTCTCTCTCTATCTCATTCTCTCTCTCAAATACATAAATAAAATCTTAAAAAAAAAAAAGAGTCGGACGCTTCACAGATTGAGCCACCCAGGCGCCCCCCCCATAATGGTTGTAAAGGAAAAACTCATTTTTGTGTGTTTCTCCTTTACTCTCACATGACAACCACACTCACAAGACTTGTGACAACAGATGTGGGCTATGTTTCCTCCAACTCCAAGCAATTCGATGACACCAGCTGGGTGCCTACGATTCAACTCCATTCTGACACTAAGCAGAGTCTCCGCGCAGACCCCACAGGTAAAGGGCTCAGTCCCACGAGACTGCCCTCGCCTCAGAGGCCGAGTAGCAGGTCCTCAGGTTACCCACGATTTCTGTCCAACTTGGCTACCATTTGGAAGTTCCCATGACCACCTACTTCCCTTGGATTCAATTATTTGCCAGAACGCAGAACTGGGGGAAATAACGGATACTTACCAGTTTATTAGGTAATAAAGAACACAGATGAACAACCAAGGAGATACATAGGATGAGGTCTGGAAGGGTCCCAGGCACACAGGCTTCTGTCCCTGTGGCATTGGGGTGCGCCACCCTCCCGGCACATGGATGTGTCCACCAACGCAGAAGCTCTCTAAACCCCGTACTGTTAGGATTTTTAAGGAGGCTTGATCAATCACTAACTCCATGTCCAGCCCCTCTTCCCCCTCTGGAGAACAGGGGGTGGGACAGCAAGTTCCAGGCTTCTGATCGGGGCTTGGGCTTTCTCTGGCGATCAGCCCCC